TGTACAGGAAGCTGCCATTGAGGCTAAGTTTACTGAGGTGAATGCTGTGAACAGGCTAAGGCTGCAGAATCTGGAGTTCACCCAAAGTCTTCTCAACCAGGTGAATTATTTTTACAGGAAGATGATAATAATGATGATAATAATAATAATGATAATAATAGTAGAAATAATAATAATGACATTAAAAACAAACACGATTATTTTACTCTCTAGCAACCCGAGACCCCTATGATTCAGTCAACAAATGTCCGATCAGTCAGTTCGTCTGCACCAGGAGAAGAACCATGGAGAATCAAGAAGCAGTTGGACGACGAAGTCCAAAGGAGAGAGCAGCTTGAGAAAGAAATTGAGATTATCCAGACTGATATCTATGTCCTTGAGGGGCAGAAGCCTCAGGACACTATTGTCAAAAAGGAGCTGATTAAAAAGGTTCCAGACCCGCAACTGGATGAGGAAGTCCATAAGGTACAACAGAAACTCTCAGAGGAGCGCCGCACTACTCATGTCCTGGAAAATGACCTTGAGGTTCTCAAGTTGAAGTTGCGTGGCCTTGAGACTGAGGCCAAAGAAGGGGCACAGCAATACACAGTGAAGGAGGTCCTGCGTATAGAGAGAGACCGAGGTCAAGAGGAGGAAATGCGCAAGCTTCGGGAGGAGCTGGATGAGCTAAGAAGGCAGAAGTTGAATAGAGACAATGAGATCATTCAGATACAGAAGCAAGTGACACTCCTAGCTGAAGAGAAGAACAAGGAACAGGAGGTGATTACTGAAGAGGAGGTGATCAAAGTCCAAAATGACCCACAACTTGAAACCGAGTACCGGGTACTCCTCGACAGGAAGCAGAAGGAAATGGATGGCAGGAAGCAGCTGGAGGATGAACTGCAATTTCTTCAGGAAAAGCTCAAAAGGATGGAGAAGGAGAAAGCAATGGCAGAGGAGAAGATTTCCATCAAGGAGGTGCTGAAGGTAGAGAAAGATGTCGCCTTTGAAAGGGAGGTAGAAAATCTCAGGAGGCAGTATGAAGACGAGAGGACCAAACGGAGATCATCACAGCGAGAAAAGGTTGATCTCCAGAGAAAAATTACCAGCCTAGAGGAAGAAAAGTCAAAGGTCGTTATCCAGGAGAAGGTGAGGGAAATAGTTCGCCCTGACCCCAAGGCTGAGAATGAGGTCGCAAATCTCCGACTTGAACTTGTAGAGCACCAGCGGCGCTATAGAGATGCAGAGCTCCAGCTTAGATCACTGCAGGATGAACTCACTATGTTGAGAAACAGAGGACCTCAAGTGGAGGTTAAAGAGATCATTAAAGAAGTTATCAAATACAAGACAGATCCACAGACTGAGAGAGAACTGGAAAGACTGCGCAACGAGATCGTAGATAAAACTCACCAGATTGAGAAATCTGAGATGGAAACTCGCCAACTTCGTGATGAAATTCAAAGATGGATGGACACTAAACCCCAAGTGCAGACTAAAGAGGTGGTCAACGAAGTGTTGCAGTACAGAGAAGACCCCAAGACCAAGGAAGAAATTGAAACTCTCAAAAGGAAACTGGCTGATGAACAGAAAAAACGCCTTGATCTGGAGAGAGACCGTTCAGCCCAAGAAGAGAAAATCAGACTCAGGAAAATGGATCTGTCTCAGGTCCGTGAGAAGATTGTTCAGCAAGAGGTGGTGAAGATGGAAGAAGATCCAATCCTCAGGTCAGAATGTGACAGTTTTGTACAAAACATCGGAAGCGAGCAGAGGCAAAAGGAGAGTCTGAAAACAGAGCTCTACCAACTGCAAAGACAAAAGGCTGACTTGGATATGCAACTAGAAGAACTGGAGCGTGAGCGTAGGGCAAGGCGCGACGCAGAACTCGAGATCCAGAGGCTTCGGGTAAGACTTAATGAGCTTGAAATCCATGACAAAGAAAACCGTGAAAAGGTCACTGTCAAACAGAAGGTAGTCCTACAGCAGGATCCTCAACAGGAGAAGGAACACTCCATCCTCAAACTGCAGCTTGATGAAGAGAAGCACAAACGCATTCTGCTCGAGAAAGAGTTAAATGCTCTCGTTCAGCAGCAGATCACCCTGGAGAAGATGGATGTGAAAGAAAGAGTTGTCCGCACTGAGAAAGTCCAAGTTGAGAAGGATCCAGAGGCTGAAATTGAGATTGAAAACCTGAGGAGAACTCTGGAGGAGGAGAAAAGAAGAAAGCGAGACCTGGACCAGGAGTTGTCCACACTCACTTCAAAGCTTTCTGATATGGAGTTCTCCAACACCAAGTCTTCAAAAGAACTGGATTACATTCGTGATGAGAGTAGCAGGCTGCAGCAAGAAAACCAAAGGCTACAGAATGAGATCCGCAAGCTTCGTTCTGAGATTGAGATCACCAGCAAAGAGACTCGTCTCATCACTGAGTCTGCTCCAAGGGAGGATGGGAAGAACCTTGAATTAAGGCTTGATTCTCTACAGAGGGAACTAGGAGAGCTGAGAGGCATCACCACCCAGAAGGATGATGAAATCGAGAAGCTTCAAAAGAACCTGTCAGCTGTGAGAATGAAGCGGGAACAGAGGGAGAGTCACCTCCGTAGGTCTATTGTCATCATTGACCCGGATTCAGGCAAAGAGATGCGTCCAGAGGAGGCCTACAAACTAGGGCTGATCGACTGGAAGATGTTTGTCAACCTGCAGAGCCAAGAGTGTGACTGGGAGGAGATCTCAGTCAAGGGCCCCAGGGGAGAATCCTCTGTTCTTCATGATCGAAAATCAGGGAAAAAGTTCTCCATCGAGGATGCGCTGCGTCTTGGCCACATCACAAATCGTCAGCTTCAGCAGTACACTAACAAAGAAATCTCTATCCAGGAATTTGGTGTTATGGTGTCGGGACAAAACAAATGAATACAAATATGCTAAAGAACGTACATTGTTCATTTTAATACTACAATATTTTGTCTGTCTCACTGTTTTTACTGTAACTCCATTCTGACTTTATTACTATGGTGACTCGGTACTTTAACCATGATTCATAAATGCACTATATATTTATTAGCTTATGTATCCTCAAATTATTTTAACTGGCATGATTAAGTGAGATGACATTACTATCTTTCAGCCAACTACATAGCATTTTACGTGGGAGGGGAAGTTTTCTCAGATCACCTTTTATTTCTTACACTGGTTACTTTGTAAGAGAACATCTCTTTGGTAATATATGTATGATGTTGCCATTCAAATTGGCAAGGGAACTAAATTATGATTTTGCAATTTTGTGGGGGGTTTTCCTCAGGTTAACTTGATGTGTGCTATGTACCTTTCAATAAAAGTTGATTAAACAGGGGAAAAAATGTCATTGGTATAATTTTGTGGTCATATTTTCTTATGTATAGTTTTTAATATCCAACTTGAAACTGATTATAACAGCATTACGACTGATTAACAACATCAACAAGAAGAGGAAGAAGGATATTACTAATATTTAATTAACCATCTAATTTTGTAATTTGTAATTTATTTCAAGGATAGCCCCTTGAGATGCATTATCGAGGGGTCCTTACCGTATCCATAAATACAATCATCAGTAATATAAAATCATAATGAAAGGTAAATCCAAACACAGAGACACCCACACCACAAATACACACACACACAATCACTCACACTTAATGCTCCCCCAAACCTTGCCACCCACCAACCAGCCAATATTACACAATCAGAAAAAAACTCAATAACTGTAATAACATACATGTAAAGGTAGAGGTACACTTGTGTGTATATATGCACACATATATACACAATATAAATGCATATACATATATACATACAGATACACAACTATACAGTTCATACCCACATAGTGTACGCAACTTAAGGCATAAGGTACAGTACATACATAGATATTTTCCGAGTGGTAGTTTACTGTAATCACATTTTTTCTTACAAACTGCCTTCCATTATCAAAGTTGGCCAAAAACATTTTACAATCAGTCAGAAATGGGATGTTTTCTCAAAATACTCAAAAAAGATACCAAATGAAATCTTAAAGGGGGCTTATGTCTCATCAGAAGCTATGATGTGACACAAGTTTGTAATAATGTATTTAGTATCTGTATCTGGACCAAGACGAAATGTCCTTCTTGAGTTCTTGTAAAACCAATAATGACTCAATATGCAACGCAAACAATAACATTAGCAAAAAGACTGATTACTTCAAAAAGTGTATTTTGAATTACTATGTAATGTATTTAACTAGGCCGACTGCCAAAGGGTCATGAAAATAGAGTGATTTACAGCTTTCAGACCAGAAGTGCCTTTAAACACATTTTGATGCATACTAATTGGAACATGTGTCAGTTACCAGACAGCAGGGGAAATTCGTGATACAAATGTAAAATGTAAAGCTTTAAGAAATAGTACAAGTGCAGTCTTGATCTCATTATGTATTCTTTGTCAGCCCTGGTCCCTGGGATTGACCAGCGACAGTCCAGTATGGATAATGTATGGTTGGATAGATGGACGGATAAAATCATATTGAGTGGAAAAACGACTTAATTTCTACAAGTAATTGTATTGAAGTAATATGAGAACAACTGAGGTCTGGCCATTTGTCAGGGGCCCAGCGGGACCTTTTGTAAGAGGCATATTCAACTAAACTCTGTTTGATTTCAAACTCAAATGCTAAACTTTTAACAAATCAAAGCTTAAATTGAATAGGGCTACCATTTGCAAAATATTTATGACTTAAACTTAACTTTTTTCTTCATTTTTTTACACATTTTTTTACACTCTTCAAACAAATATGGGTTGAAGCCTAAGATGCCTTGTAGCATACGTCGCCCAGAACAGAATCTATTTGGTTTAACATCTATTTGGTGGTCTGTATAGCCTATATTGTAAATTTCATGTGTTGAAAGAATACATTTAAACATGGTTGATATTCACAATAAACTGAGAAGCGGAAGTTGGTGAGGAAGGGTTTGTCCTCACATGTGATTAGTGGGTGTGAGCTGTCTTTTGCCATCATTCAGTGCGACGTTTATTAATGTTGTAAGATGGCGACGGTGCATCTGAGGATCGGAGACCTAGTGTGGTGAGAAAACCTTTAAACATTGTTAAACAACTCTATAATTTCTTAATTATCCTGCATTATATCAAGCAGTGTTGTTTACGTTTGTTAAACATGAATGTTTCACGCTGGCCTTATTCAGACTTTCTGAATGTAAGTTAATGTCACCTAAACAAACTGTTAGCTAAGCTGACTCAGCCAGCAGCCGTCGTTAGCTGCCAGCTAGCGGACAAGCTAAAGACAACATTTAGAATCGAAGATAAATACACAGGTCTGTAATTTGTTCAGTCCAAATTTCTCATACGTATTTATCAATGAAGGCCCAATATGCATGTCCAACTTTACAATGTTTTATAAATGTTGAGGTGGCGTGTGACGAGCTTTGCTAGCAACGTCGTTGAAGTCGATATCTAACTTGCGTTGGTACGTTAGCTTTGCCTGTGGCTTCCGTGTTATCTTGTGTAGCTATTTTCCTTTATCTTCGGTTGTTTATTTTTTATATATTATCGTCATATGATTTTTTGTTGCACATATGTACAAGTGCGTTGCGTTTGAGTTTAGTAATCCACACATTAAAAATAACCTTAACGTTTTCCTTCAGCAATCGAAGCAGCGATCATGTTTTTTATTGCGACATCGTTGAGTATCCCAAAATCACATCCGCCGAGTTACATTTAATTCAATGTATAACTTTTGAACAAGTATGAGGTATAGTAGTTTTGCCCCAGACGCTGTTGCATATCTCATACACGTCCTGTTATGTATGAAGAGGACGTATTTATACAGTTCATGAGAACACAATAGCAAACTAAGAAAACCAAAATGACCAAGTGAAACTGTTACAATTCTGATAAACGACACGTAAGAATAGTTAGTCAAGACATCTGTGAGTTTCAGTTGAAACAAAGCATCATATAGGGTTAGTTACCTCAGAACAGTAATCGTGTTATGCATTGTGAAAAGTGGCGCACTCAGGGTTTGAGATTATTTGTAATGAGTAGGACTGGTGTCTATTACTTGCATTTTGGTATCTATTTTGCTAAAGAACAAGTAAACAAGATTTATAATTGCACCCAAACCTATTTAATATACAGCCCTTGCATTTGACATTAAAGCGTTGGCTTCATGGTATGTGTTGCCTTGTTCTGGCAAGACAGATACACATTTGGTAAATACATTGCCTATCTTTTTCAGGGGGAAGCTTGGCCGTTACCCACCATGGCCAGGAAAAGTAAGAACTATCAACAGCTTTAAAGCAGAATAATATTACCAACATTTGTTTGAAAACAATTTGTTGCTAATGTTGGACTGTTTTTTTTGTATCCAGGTAGTGAGCCCCCCCAAGGATCTGAAAAAACCAAGAGGCAAAAAATGCCATTTTGTGAAATTCTTTGGAACTGAAGACCAGTAAGTCTGGAAAAAGAGGTACCTGCCTTGACCAACCTTGATCCGACTTTTCCATCAAATGTGTAAGATCTGTGTTTCTGTGTGCCTGCCTAGTGCCTGGATCAAAGTAGAACAGCTGAAGCCCTACCACGCCCACAAAGAGGAAATGATCAAGATAAATAAAGGAAAACGTTTCCAGCAGGCAGTTGATGCAGTTGAAGACTTTCTAAAGAAAGCAAAGGGGAAAGAGCAGGTGAGGGAGTTCTTTTAAAACATCATTAAATTCATTTAGCACCATGTTAATGAACAAAACTGATGTTACCAAGATAGTATATGGTTTTACAAGCAGTCGGGAATTCTACAAAGTGATGCATCTCGCGGAATTCTGTAGAGGATTTCTATAATTTATATCTGTTTGGTCTTTGTTTTTAAGCCTGTAGAAGTATCTTTCTGAGAAATTCATTTCAATATTATGAATTTATGACTTAATTCAGATTAAAGATTCAAAATAAACCACAATTTTCAGTCGGGCATTAGGACTAAATCTTAATGTACAGTTCTTGTCAATGAACCCTGGTCGCTCTTCAGGACTAGTGTGTGCTGAACAATAGTGTTGTACTTCTCAGGGCTTTAGTGTATAGTGACCTTAAATGTAACAAAAACTGAATGATAATTAAGGGGATGCCAAATGAAAAGCCACATGTTCAAATAATTGTTTCTTTCTAGAGGAAACTGGCATTTTTTTCACATAATATACAACCATGTGATAGAACATGAGTAGTTTATAGAATAGAAGAAAGGAATATAAACTCCTGCCACTTGTCTGTTACCTAAAAATAATAGACTACTCTCACAACATTGCCCAAGTCAATTTCCTCACACATAGGTCTGTAGACCTTTTATAAATGAGGAAATCAAGTACTTATTTGATTGATGTAGGAATTGCTAAATTTGGCAGATTTCTCTTAGAGGTTTTATTAAGTGACAAATGTCCACTGTTGTTCAACAACTCAATGTGAATATTTAAATTTGACTACTCAAAAATTAAGATTTTGTGTTGTGCTTTTTTTTGTATTAAAAATAATGGAAGCACAGCTTGGAATTGTGTGCACTGATGAATTATATGTATTTAATTAACACCACAACCAAAACAAATAGCTGTGGGACATGCTGGTTTCCATCAAAGCCCCTGGTCAGATCAAATTAACAATTTACTAAGTGAGTCTTTTCTCACTCATAAGTAGTGAAATACTCCCAGATGTCACATTCAGTTTCTGCAAATGTTTATTCAGGTGGACACATGGTTTCTCTTGAGACCAGCTGCTAGCCAGAGAGAGTGTATGTGACATTTGGTAAATCAGTTGTCCCTGTCACTCAGTAAACAGCTTAGACCGTATCATTATACGTCAAGCTTACTTTCACTTTGCCGAGAACTTTCTATACGTGCAAAAATAGCATCACTAAGTGATCATGTGTTGTTTTTTTTACAGAACTCGGATGGCAAAGGAGAATCAAAAGGAAAGAAAACACCAAGCAAGCCTCTGAAAATACTTGAGGAGGAGGATGAGGATCTCAGTGCCCTCAAGGACCCATCTGAAAAGGTATTAGGACACTGAAAAGTTTAAAACATATTTGTTGAAGTATCAGTTAAGAATTATTTGAAATATGCAATTCACATGATGGTAAATAATGAAAAAATGGGGACCCGAAAAGTAAAGCAAAAGACACATTACTATGATACTGTAAAAGGTCTGCAGCATGTTGCTGTTACTATACATATATTCTTTCCTAAATAACGGTGCAAAGTCCTTACTTTACCATAATGGTGACAATTCTTAGTTAGATAATAACACTGGGTTACTGTTTGCAGGTTTGAAGTAAGTTTAACTAAGTCACTAGCTCTGCTAGTCACATAGTGAAATCCATTGCTCTTATTATTTTGTACTGTAATGTACATTATACTTATCCTGAAAATTAAATGCTCCTCCTGAACTTTAGAGTCATCTTACCTTTCGATTGCACAAACTTCAAGAAATGTAACATAAGGAGTAGTCATGATTTTTGCAAACACTAGCAAAGTTCTGGGCAGGCTCACCTAAAACAGAGATGTTACCCCACCATCTCAGTGAGGCAGAATAACCATGCAATAATCCCAGCTTCAACACGCTGGGTTAACTCCGAAATGGGTTAAGAGTTTTGAGCTTCTAACAGCAGTCACCCGCTCAGGTGAAAATATTTCTCAGTTGCAAGATTTGGACATCTTGTAGATGATGTTGACAATTAGATAGCTAGTTTACAGGCAAACAAACAAAGAAAGAAAAATACTTGGGTTTCACCTTTCAGGCTCTTCCAGTTTAGACACTGAAACACCAAAGCCATGTAGGGCTATCAGTCACCAGTTCTAATCCTTAAAAGGGGAAAACACCATTTCTACTTGAACAGCCAAATCTGATAATTGATAAAAGTTGGATACAGTCTCCTTCCAGCAGCTGTTTGGAGAACAGTCTGCACTTACTCAAAGAATAATACTTAAATGTGGAAGAATAATGTTTGTGGTGTTTTCTTCCTACAGGTTTGTGCCTCAACCAAGGAATTCAATTATGTATGACATAATCCAAGTTGAGAAAGCAATAATAACAGAAAGAAAGCCTTACTTTTCAAAAAGGCATTTGTTAAATTCAGAATAGGAAATTCATTTTGACAAAGACACACAGGTTCAAAATAGCAATGGTCCTCCACACAGTCACATTTGCATGTGATGCTAAAAAATCCCACTACAGGAGACATTAACCAAAATCAAAAGGGTGAAGAGGTTTATATGTGTCTCTCTCCTCCTGAAGGACTTAACTGACTCTGATCCAGAGCCTTCCACTATTGAGAGGCTTGGGGCTGGACCTGGCTCAGGATTCAAATGGGAAAGCAGTGTAGGTGAACCCCCCTCCCACCAAGCCTGTCTTGCCTTGCTGTTTGTACTTCTACCTGACCTTGACCTTTGCCTTAAAACTCCCAACAACTGAAAACCTTTCCCTTCTGAACTTTTTGTGCTCACTCTTGATTGCCGAAAATGTGGCCTGCTCTGTCAGTGTGGTCCCCAACTCTGTATATGAAGGCTCCAAAGGAGGCTTAGGTTTGGGTCAGTCGTCCCAACTTCCCAGCATCCTTCTGTGAGTGTCTTATAGTAATAAAAGCTAACCTGCTGTGCTGGATCAGGGTTGCTGACCACTCGGAATGTATTGCTTCTTTATCAGTATGATCAATTGGTAGATGAGTGGGTGTGTAAAGAAACGGTGCAACCCCTAATAAACATTCAGTCATGAAATGTTGGTCTTTACGTCAGTGGAAACGTTTTCACAAATATTTGAATTAATCGGTAAGCTGATTGTAGCCCTTGTTTATTCACTATACAGTATACCGGTTTTGAATGAATGGAACTGCATACAAATATTGCAAACCAGAGTGCAGAAGAGATAAATGTACAAAATAAAATGGAGTGTAAACTGTGCATCTCCCTAATTTCTAACCTATTGAAAGTAGTTATTATATTAATACAACACATTAAAATAGTAAAAATCAATGCAGAATTATCAATCAGGCTTTCCTCATTGTGTTATATAAAGTACCTGAGTTTCCACTAACTTGAAGAGAATCAGAAAGTGACTTGTTTCTGGGTTAAGTTGCTCATATTAATAGGCCATCCTCAGCTGTGACACTTTTGTTTTTTTCTTTTAAATTGCAAAGTTTGTTTTTTCCTGCTCTTAATTCGTATAAGTCTTAATAAGGAGCTTAAAGGATAAAAAAAAAACATTTTCACTGAATAGTTCGTGCTTAATTTGAACGCGTACAGGGCTTAAATATTTCTCACTTTCTGCTTTGTGTATTTGATTTGGGGGAAAAAATCGAGTAAAACTTGAATAATTTAGGATATTACATTATATTTTGACTGGGCTTATCCAAGTCGGAATTGATTTTCTCTATGGAACATAATAGGACCCTGGTGTGTCGGCATTGTGCTGTGTTGACACTTTATTCTCCACCAGGACAGTACATATTCAATGAGAAGTCTGTCACACTGAGCTTTTCTCCTGTTACAGCCCGTGAAGGACGACCCACATTTCCATCACTTCCTACTAAGCCAGTCTGACAAGGTAAGAGGAAACATGCGTCTTCATATTCTGGCATGTGTGTCTTATTATTTAGACCTCCTTAATTATAGGCCTTGGTTACAAATTATTAATTGTTTGAGTTTGAATCTGATGAGTGTGGTGCTCTCCTCTTAATATGTCTCCCCTATCTGAACAAATGCAAGCCTCTGCTGTTTGTCACACGAGTGCAATGTCATGATTTTATTTGAACAAACAATTGGAGATCGTCTGTACATCCAGTGAATTACTGGTGATACTCCTTGTAGTTGAGGCAAAGTATGGCACATTGAGAACATGTTGGATGAGGGGACTGGAACTGTCTATTGTTTTTGTGTTAATTGCTCGTTGCCACAGCATGTATAACAATGTATACAAAATTAACATAATAGTGGAAACAATGTACATGCAACTGAGGCAAGCAGAAAAGACACCATCTTATGCCATTTAAAACTTCTGCCTGGTTTCTAGGGTATATTGGTTAGTCCTTATTCTATTGTTTCCCTCTGCCCACAGCCAGCATCATCAATGGAACCTATTAGTAAACGCCTGAAGATCATTGAAGAGGTACTTTATAGTGAATTTAAGTCAAACTAACTAGTCAATGACTGCACTTCTATAGATTTAATTTGTTAACAAAATTAACTTTTGAAAATAACTGCTTTCCATATGGAATTGTAATGCTTTGATATACAAATCTTCATACAGTTTTTATATATATATTTAAATAAATCAGGCTGTGGCTTGTTGTTCTCCGCTTCAGTATGAAATTGAAATTGTTGCTTTTGATTTTTCAGGACACAGGGTCAACTTCCATCCAAGCAGCAGACAGCACAGCCATCAATGGAAGCATCACACCAACAGATAAAAGGTATTAACACATCCTCTCAGCAGCACTGCAGAATACCATTATCAAAATGACATATTTTTTAACTCATCTTTGTAAGGGTATTTGGATTTCAGCTTAGAGGATGCTGATAAATTATTGCTATTATTTATTAGTAATTGTTTGTCTTCTTTTTGGACTTTGTCCACCAGGATAGGGTTCCTGGGTCTGGGACTGATGGGTAGTGGTATTGTTTCCAACCTTTTGAAAATGGGTCATGTTGTCACAGTGTGGAACCGCACAGCAGAAAAGGTACTGATATAGAACACACTAAAATGTCATACAGGCATTATTCTGTTTAAACCATGTTTGATTCATGTGGGCTTTGATATAATAATTTGACATTTACATTCTGTCTCTGCTTAATTTGTCTAGCCATTGAATTACATTTTTTAAATTTTCAATCACTTCCATTTTTTTCCTCCACAGACCAACTGGCCTCTTATCTAAACAATGTATTCTTAGGGATTAATTTATTCCAGAAACAATACATTATAACATTACATTTTTTTTATTTAAAAGTGATTTTATTCTTTGTCAAGATAATGGGTGCCTATAATGGCAAACCAGATAATGATTTTCTAAGTGAGCATGCTGCTGATAGAGGTTGAGAAAATGCTCTCTGTGTTTCAGTGTGACCTGTTCATCCAGGAGGGGGCCAGGTTGGGTCGGACTCCTGCAGAGGTTGCTTCCATGTGTGACATCACTTTCTCTTGTGTCTCAGACCCAAAGGCTGCCAGGGATGTAAGTACCATCTCAAAAACTGTAAATGGCTTCTTCCAGAAATGTGAATCATAGCCCTGTGGGTAAAAAAATCCTTCTGTGTACATTTTGTTATTCCCCTCCAGTTGGTAATGGGACCAAGTGGAGTGCTGCAGGGAATCAGGCCAGGCAAATGCTATGTTGAGATGTCCACTGTAGACCCAGAGACCATCACAGAACTCTCACAGGTATACAAACTCACTATCAATTCGTTGACATTATCTGAAGATCGCACAATAAATACATGCTTAATTAAAACATGCAGAGTTTTTGAGCCTCCTACCATCAGGAATAATCCAGACCCTTTAAACTGAGTATGAGTTGCTTCTATCAACATTAGCTCAGTGTAAGTCTTTCTGAATTATGTTGTTATTGCATATTTCAATTTCAGGTTATTACGTCGCGGGGTGGCCGTTTCTTGGAGGCTCCAGTTGCTGGAAGCCAGCAACTCTCCAATGACGGGATGCTGGTCATACTGGCAGCTGGTGACAGAACGGTTTACGAAGACTGCAGCAGCTGCTTCCAGGCGATGGGCAAGACCTCCTTCTTCCTGGGTATTAAAAATATTCTAATACAGGTTGCCATGCAGTTTAGTATGACACATGTTCAAGATTTCCTGTTGAATACACTCTCAAAACTTTTTACATCAAGCACATGTGAAACTTGTTTCAGTTAGCACTGGGATAATTTGAAGATGATTGAGCATTATTAAAGGAAGAATGTGTGACTTTTTCATCCAGTAGATGTCGCCCTTGAGCACCAACATGAAACCAAAACAAACTGAAGCCTCAACTCTACTCCAACGACACACCTCGAATCCCCCTCCCCTCAAGTTTGCACAAAGGAGTTATCAATTAGAATGCATCATTAAGCACAAGCGGCGGACAAAATTGTTCTCGGCTCGAGCTGCAATTGCCTGTGGCCTGCATTGTTGTGTTAGCAGGCTAATGTTACCAAACTTTGGCTAACTCAGAGGATATACACCGTAAAATCCGGAATTTTGAGCCTCCTACCATCAAGTCCTCCTAATTCAAGTCGCACCGGTATTTAAGACGCACCCTGTTTTGAAGGTCTTTTAGAGAGAAAAAAACTGTCTTCCTGTGTGACGATTTATATGGTGTTCAGCGATGTCTACAACGTGCAGTTTCTGTGCAGCTCTTAAAGTCCCGTCTTTTTTCATGTTCAGGAGTTTGCACTCCTACTAGCTACAGTACGGTAGTTGAGCTCTCAGCCTGCTGCAGGGAAAGTTGTGAGGCACAGACTCCTAGCTTGCAACATTGCGAGTCGTGCTGCCCGACTCTGCTGGTCACTCTTTAAATTTAATATAGGAGTCTTTCAATCAAAAGAACACTCCACAAGGTTTATTTACAGAACAATATACCACTGTAACCCAGCCCGGTCTGTGTCACCGCCTTTCCCAGCACAGCGTGCACTCAGCTTTCAATACACGGGAAATGGGGATGGGTTTTTAACATACACTGTAAGGTTTTTAATCACCCCAGGTTGCAGTTATAGAGGCTGCTGCACCCGCTTTAATGACGGCGCGTGTTTCAGTATTTTATATGGTCGCACCGGTGTATAAGACGCAGCCAAGTTTTCAGACGAAAAAATGGGTATTAAAAGTGCGTCTTATACACCAGATTTTACGGTACTTGATTTCTGCTATATGTATGTGTAAAATGTTGCTCATTCTGCCGTTAAGGCAATTTAAACAAAACTATCAGAACAGAGAAGTTGAATGATTATCAGTAGGTCTGCTGTGTGTTCAGATATATTTCCAGGGGAGCTAATATGTCTGCCTTCTGAGTCCTGTTTATAGGCAAAAAAATAATTTTATAACCTTTGTAACAAACTAGTTTCAGAGGGATTTTATCTTAGTGTCCCTGAGTGGAAGTGTGTCTTAGGCTGTCAGAAACCACATATTTTCATTCTATTTACATAAAGTTTGATGTCACTTTGACTATCTAGTGCGTCATTCCAAGTTAAAGAATGCGAGAAATGCCCAGATGTATACTAGATTTGCCATGATATATTATATTTCTACACAAAAACTTGTGTTTGCGTTTTTATGTTTTTGATTGTGTCCGTTTGTGTGTGTTTAAGGTGAAGCAGGGAATGCAGCAAGAATGATGCTGATCCTCAACATGGTGCAAGGTAGCTTCATGGCCACCATTGCAGAAGGGCTTACTTTGGCCCAGGCCACCGGGCAATCCCAACAGACCTTCCTAGACATCTTGTGCCAGGGCCAGATGGCGAGCACCTTCGTGGACCAGAAATGCCAAAGTAAGTTAAAATAACATAAGAAGTTTCTTACTTTACTTACTTTATTCTTTCATGAACTGAATTTTTACATGAATTCATTTTCAAGTGATGTGTGGCCATAAAAACACTTGTTCAACAAAAACAACTTTTTTTTGATGTTGATAAGATGGGCTTATTTAAAACAAGTTTTTATTTCATGTCACTTTCAGATATTTTACAGGGCAACTTTAAGCCGGACTACTATTTGAAACATATCCAGAAGGACCTGAGGCTGGCCATATCCATGGGTGACATGGCCAACCATCCAACCCCAATGGCTGCAGCTGCCAATGAGGTAAACTGTGTTCTAAGAACATAATCAAATAATAGTTTTGATTGACAAGTTTCAATTCCCGTTAAGCATTCATTTTACTGCAAGTGACATCTGTTTCAAAATAGTAGTATGATGATGACCGAGAAGTAAGTTTCTGTTCTGCCCTGCAAGCTCTATAACGTGTGTTTGTGAATGCCTTGTTAAGCGATTGTATCCTGTCAGGTAGTGATAGAGAATAGCCATTAGCAGTATTTGACAAATATGAGCAAAACACTAAACAAAACACAATGCATGCTGGCATTGATTGCACAGGCAGGCATCTTCCTCATTAAACAGACGGCTTCAGAAAATGCAATAAAACTTAGCAATTGTAATTTACACATTTAAGACAAATGAAGATGTTGCTTTTTTCATTCATGCCACACAGAAGTTTCTGAAGAATTGTAAATTTTTCTAAGGTTCATATTTTTTTTTGTTTTAATGTAATCAAGCTAATTTGCCCCCAGTTTTGGGAGTCTTTTTTTATTTTATTTTACCATAAGTAGAAAATTAATCAGACACTATTTTAAGTGCCTCATTCCTCAGTAGGACCCAGAATATTTATTTTTCACCATTGGCTAAAGTTTTGTCAAGATCAGTTCCCATGAAATTCGCCGACAAATTGTGTGTAATCAGTGCTCACTCCAGACATTTTGACTTATCAAGATACATTTATGCCATTTTCACACAAGCAGAAATCTCAGGTTATTTCACGTAGGAGCTGTATATGTGAATGCAAACAGCCGAATGTTTCGCTCGGACTTCACCCGGAGTTTCTCCGGCCAGACCCCTATAATTTTTCCCGAGTGGGCTGATGTGAGAACGCAGCAGGCTATTCTCCGGAGAATTCAGCTCGAGCCAATAGGAGGGGGAGTGAAGTTTCTATACAGTTACTGCTGCACGGTGCATAGAGTGTCTGCGTGCGACCACTACGATCTCTGTGCACGTAATTAAACGGCTGCATTATGTTTTCTGTTCATCAGTATGTTGTTCTCCTCTCTTTTATGGATGTTGTCATTCCATTGCATTACACATAGCATTGATATAAAGGCAAATATTCAAAAGGCAAATAGGAAATCCCCGACCCTCCTCCCCTCTGACAGGGAACGTCCCCCGCTGTGAGGAGCATATGTGAACGGCTAAGTCGGGAGAATCTCCGGAGCAGTCCTCCTTTAATTATCTAGATATTATCTGTAGTGCATACAGTATGTGAAAACGGCTTTAGAGTCATTTATTGTTGACAATCCATAAAGGCCTTGACCATCAAATTCCAATAAGCCATGATAGTTTGACAGTAAGAATGCAAATACAGTACCAGAACTCTGAAACCAAAGCAGCTATGTAGATTTCAGTCATGCTTCTCATTTATGTCTAATTAGCATGGATTGACTTGACTTGTTAAGGCCTTCAGAAATTTGTATCAACAGTTTTCTAATAGACTAATGTGGTGTCCAGTAGGTCTTGTTGATTGTAATAATGGTTAAGAGCTGCACTCTGTTGGCAACAAGGCAACCTTGTTTTAACAGTTTGTTGATCTGTTAGTTTCATTGGTAATAAAATCACCGCACAACAAGGCACTCGAGACAGGCCTTTATTAGAGTTTGTCTAGCTTAAGTGGAAAATAAAAGAGCTGCTGCCTGCCTCTTATACTGTATAACTAGCTCTTCTCTGATTCAAAGGAGTAGGGAGAGATATAATATTTGATAGCATGGAATAATTATGAATCAATGTATTCCTCTACCTATTCAATTCAATTTTTCAATTCAATTTTTATTTGTATAGCGTCAACTCATAACAAGTGTTATCTCAAGACACTTTACAAAAAGCAGGTAAAAGACCTTACTTATTGCTATATTACAAAGACCAGGCCTATCCAACATGAGCACTTTAGCAAAGCAGCAAAAGTTACAGTGGTAAGAAAAAACTGTCTTATTAAAAGACAGAAATCTTCGGCCGGATCCCCGGCTCATGATGAAACAGCCTTCACAGGCCTAGACTGCACCGGGCTTGGAAAGGGATAGGGGGAGAGATGGGATAAGATGCAGGAAGAGGGATAGGGAGCAAGGGGGTGGGGGGAGGCAAACCGCCCATCAACAATCCGGTGGGGGGGGGGGGGGGGTTGTTCTGGTAGAATTATGAGAATACCACATTCTCTGTGATTTTTTTTTTTTTTTTTCCCCCCCAAACAGTAATTTAACAAGTGCAGAAAAAAATGCCTTTGCAACATAACTGAAATGTGTTTTCTTGTTTACAGGTTTACAAGCGGGCTAAGGCACTGGACCAGTCAGACAATGATATTTCTGCAGTCTACAGAGCATACATTCATTAGAGTGAGCTGTGATCTCTCCTCAGGACCACGCAGTCTTTCATCCCTTATTATTCTCCCTTGTCATGTATCATGTTTTTAATTTTAAATTCTTGGGGGTTTTATTTTCCATTTTCCACAGCGCCAGCCATGTTTCCTGCCCACAAATCATGAGATAGTAATTCCTTTGTTAACAGCAACCTTGAGAAAAGCACGGACTGCATTGGAGGTAAATGGGCTGTAAGAGTGCTCCATACAAGGTTGTTTATTCTGCATTGCTGCAGTTCACTGTAGGAGGAAGTTTGTGTGGTTTCTGAAAACTTAAAGTTTCTAGTAGTTGTTCAGGGTGTTTGGCAAGGGTGTTTGGTCAAGTGCCACTGTGAAGAGTAGGGGGTCTGACTCATTGCTGTCACATTAAGTGGCTGCGTAAAACCCTACAGATTTTTTGTTTATGTGCAGATGATGAGTTTATTTAATTGATTTTGAGCTTTGCTTTCTTTTAAATGTCCAGAATTTTATGGAAAAAAACACCAAGAACCTGCCACTGCATTGCCTTAATATTATAACCCCCTGAGTCTTTCAATAATAGATGTATTTATTTATGTTTCTAGGTCTACTTGGCAACATTTGGCATGGCTTGATTCTGTATTCGATTTGATGATTTATGCTTTTATGTTTGTGTTTATGATCTTTGTTGAACAGGTTAAAGAATGAACAACAGTTTGTTAAGGCCTTAAAATGCAGTAATTATTGGTTTTTGTTTTCAAGACTCGAGATTATGTCATCTACAATCCTTCATTCTTGTGTTTGGAAGAGTTCTCATTCTCAAATTGATCTTTTAAATATTTCTCTGAAATGACATGAATCTACGTGTTGAGTTTTATTTTAAGTTGAGGTCATAATAAGCGCAACATCAACGGTTTCTTTTTTTTGGTAGTCATAATAAAGACGTTTTGGAGGGGAATTTTAAAACATCCTGGGACACAAATGCAGGATTTAAAACAAAACTAATGAAACACTTGAGAGTTGGTGCTTTGGGAAGATGTCTATTACAAAACTGAAACTAAAAGCTGTAAAATGAATACATTTGACTTTGTTTTGTAGTTATAAGTGCAGTATCAGTCAAACTTTTAAATAAACATAACTCACTTAATCTAAACAGGTTGTTACATTTCCATACTTAACCCACCAGAGCCCACAACTCAATGTCAACATGGGTTCCATTGTATTATTTATTTATTCTTTACCTGGCCGTAAAAAGATTTTAGGTCAAATGAGGAGCAGTCGCTGGCTTAACAAGACTGATCTGAAATACGGCGGATAATTTTTCTATTAATTGTTATCAAAGGTGATTATGGAATTTTCATATATTTTTGCTGATATGACCAAGAAATGTCATCAAAAGCTATAGATTTTACAGATGGTTGTTGTTACTAAATATCTTTTTCACACTGCTTATGCTTAGAAATGTGATTAAAAAAAATGTGCATTTTGTTAAAAAAACAAAAAACAAAAAAGAAAACGAGCCAGGCTCTACTTGGATCCATGTCATTTGAAGTCTAATTGCAGGTCAGAAGGGGTGTGTTTCTGTAACATCAGTTTCATAGTTAGGCTCCTATCCATCCCACCGATCTATGTTTTATTTTTGTGTAATGTCTAAGTGAATCAAAAGTTATTATATAAACATACTGCAGAATAAGCTCTTAAGATGGGTTCTAGTTAATTAGTTTGTTTGGGAACTGCAACAATTTGAATCAGGTCTGAAGTCCATACGATTGGTAGAGTCCTTTCAGAAGGAGTTTTCTCTTGAGTTAATCCTTTGATATGGACCCATGAAGATCTCATACATAACCCAATAAGTTTGCTGTTGCAAATGACAATGCCAAAGAAACATGGTGTTATGTACCTTAGAGGATGAAACAGCTGGGTTCTTACATCTGAGACCCGAAAGAAGCACAAATCAGACAAGACTGATCTGATCTGTTTGTGCTTGTCAGAATGTGTATCATTGCAACACTAAAACTGCCCATCACACACAGAGTAAAATTAGGGCCTATGGTGTTAGGTCAAGCATACTTGCAGTGTCTGTTTTGTTTGGTTGCAGGCCTCAGGTCCATGTTTCAATATATGTAATACACAATCTTATATTCTATTGGATTTCCCCAGCTGTTTAACAGCTCCATGGAAAGAAAGATGCATGTTTCATAGTTGGGCTCCTATCCATCCCTGCTGATGACAGGAATTACCTGCAGAAATGGATGAATGAAGATGTCCTTGAAGGAGACAATGTTGTTAAATGCCTCAAAAGAATAAGAACAATAAAAGTGGCCCATCACCCCCTTGGAAATGACTTAGGTAGACTTGGTGTTAGCAACAAAACCTGCTCATCACAGGATGAGTGTTCACCATCAGAAATCATTTTTCTTATTGGAAAAAAATCCCTAGTGATTTTTATGTCCGCGGTTTTAGTCAGATTACACTGAAATGAAAACCCATTCGTAAGATATATTAATTTTATTGCATGTTAATAATTCATTGTACCATATGGTAAGGTTTTATGTTTGCCAAACCTAGTGCATTTGTTTTTAGATTCCCCTTACACACACTATGTGTAAAGAGAGGTTTATAGATGACAAATGTAAATAGTACATAAGGTTGATTAGGGTTTCTTTTATATCTACAATAACTTGGGTTTATGAAAGCAGTAACTTTTGACAGACTAACATCTTTATGTCTAACTACTATAGGTTCAGTTCAAGTGTTAATGGTTTATTAATATGTGGCTTATATAATCTGGTTTATTATCACATTGAAATGTCAATGAGTTGGATTCTATCAATGGAAGGAGGGTGAAACTTGTTTTGGGGGATATTTATGATTTTGTGTACATGTGGAAATATAAAGACTTTTGTGCTGTTAAATAAATACTCTCCTAATTACTGACGTGTATTCACTGACCAATCATGATATTGTTGTGAAATATTATTTGGACTGTTTGAGAAGATAATAGAATGTTTCAACTTAATACCTCTCAAAACCAACACTGAGGTAATCTCCTTTTCACTACTTTCCAACTTCCAGGACTGCGACTTTTTGCAATAAATCGTATTCCAATCAAGGTCTTATCCCCCATTCTCATAAACAAATATCCGTGAGCTTATTAGCTATTCATTCATTGAATCATTCACAGTTTTGGCAACATAGGCAGGATCATACATAACTAACCATGTGGAAACTGATTTATCAATCGATGTTTAAAACATAATATTTACCTTCTGTCAACAAGTGTAACTGTATTGATGCATTATTCAAGTTAAACATATTTTTGTAGCATCCATGTTGTGTCATTACATCTTACATTTCTTGGGAGATCAAGGGACCATCCAAGGGGAGGGGGTCATGATGTAATTGTAAAGTGACATACGCACCTTTTTTACTTTTTTACTCGATTTAACAATGCACAAGTTACACATGTCAAACAATAATAAAACAATACATCTGAGCTTTTCAACTAATTAAAAAACGAAGTTGTTTTCCACCTACATGAAGGATGATATGAAATAGAAATTGTAAAATAATTTTAAAACATCAAGATGTACTAAGGAAAAACAATCCATAAATATCACTAAGGTTGTACAAATATAGAATAATTCTAATAATATATGTTTTATATCACAATCATACAATCCATTGAACGTCATAGTGTTCACCAAACACAGTTTTGCAGTTTTCTAAAAAGAGGAAAGAGTGGTTTGGAGCCTAAAAAACTTGTGGATATAAATATTTCCCAGTAAAATCAAAAATAACTACATTATTATTTACAGTGTTTGGGACGTTTGGGTATTGGACACACGCACTTCCTCTGTATTTCCATCCTGCTTGTGACGTTGGGCGGAAGTTGTATTGCCAAATGGGAACTCGTAGGCGGGGCCTATTTAATAGCGTATGACAAACCTAATGGTACATTCAGGCGATCCTTGTAAAAACTGAAATACACTATAGTATTATAGCGATTTGGTCGGAATTAACAATAACATAATACACTAATGAGATATATAAGAATTTTTAGTAATATAGCATGCATTATGCGCCTGCTTAGATGCCTTTAGAAGGAATATTGGAGAAAATGCACATGCAGCGTAATAAATACTTCAAATTAAAGATAAAAACGAATAAAACTGAAACAAATATGTACTATTCTTGAAACTACCCGCCCATAGTATCATACATTACAACAATTCATTAATATTTAATATATATTACATATTTGCACTTGTATTTTCCTGTTTTTGGCAGCTCATATGTGCACTCACGTCATTTCCGACAGTACTTAATAGCAACATCAGATCCTTCACATAGCTAGTGGTTAGTGAGACACCTCCATCCTACAGAGTGGACAGTGTTTTACTTAAGTGGATAATCAAGGATTTGATTATCTTTGCTGCAAAACATGCTCAACCCGCAGAGATCTTTGTCTGAGCTGCCCAAGATGTCCGCTGCCAGTCAAGTGGAGAGAGCTGTATTGGTAAGCTGTTCTCACATTTTCTCTGCAACACAGGACGCAGTTCTGTTTGCCTTGACCAATTACTGACTGAGTCGTCGGTGAATCTAACATTTCATTATTAAAGCTGTGAATTATTGAATGTTGAGGGACGTGAATAACGTGCTGTTAGCCCAGAGGGACAGCAGCACCCGCGCGCGCGCGCTACAATGCAGGTGCTGTAAGCAGCGCTCGCGCTGTCACAGTATTCTGAGATGATGTTGACAATGGGCCTTGATTATTGACCGAAGCAAAAGCCACTCATATGACTGAGCCTGCCCATCCTAAAGCCTGCCATGATAAGTGGTATATTAACATTAAGCGTTTTATATGGAAACATCACATTTCACAAATAAACAGACCTTTAAAAAGCTGTTATTATGAAGAAGAACAAACGGTTGTGCAATACTTAGTGAAATAATAAGCAGTAAGTCTATATTCATTTCTGCAAGTATTTATTTCATGATGTATTTTTATATTGATGTGTTATTGAAAACTGTGATGCAGGCTTACTTCTCTGACTTGCTTGCAAACAGCTGGGCAGATTTAAAACTTTGATTCATTTGTTAAAGCTACATTACTGTTTATTTGACTTGGTGTTATGTAGTCAACCTTATTAACAATTGTCTCAAACAGTGGTCACAGAACTGAACATTTGAGCTTACTTAATTGTAGGATGGTGAAAGGCTGCATGATTTTATTGAAGTGTAACCCAAATACTGTTTAAATAAGAAGTAGACATGGCCACTGTGATACCACCCCTTAGTCTGTGGACTACGGTTGCTTCTTACAGGTCACTGTAACTGAGACTTCCCAATCACTGGAAGTCCCAAAGCATACCATGCATTTCTGTATGCTTTACTTCAAATTGCAACATGGTTCACAAAAAGGATTGAATCAAGCAAATGAGTCCATAAACTTATTAAGAAAATGTGTGCCGATTTAATAAATCCAGTGAGAAGGGCCACTTCTACTGGTTGGCCTGCATACTTTTTTTTTGAGTCTCCCCCTTCATATTATTAGAAAGACTGCAGGACATAGGTCCTGCAAGGTCCTTGTGAGGTGCAAAGTGGACAAATGACAGTGCAACTCATGTCTGAACATGCAAGCTGTAAAGCAATGTTTAATCTGCATTGACATAGTACGGCATATGATTATGAAACAGGGAGCATAATATTAATCTATGTAAATGCAGTGTCTGCAGATGTGAGAAAGGAGTTGTACAGACAAAGGAAGGGACTGCTGTGGTGTGAACTGTGAGAACCCCCCATAAACTGCAATGTCGTTTTTTGGTTTTGTATTGTCCCATACGTGTCTGTTTTAAAAAATCATAAGGGAGTGAATACTTTATTTTGTCATTTTGGTAGGAGGAGGAATTCAACTGGCTGCTTAAAGAAGAGGTACATGCTGTGTTAAAGCAGCTCCAGGACGTCCTCAAGGTAAAAGTTAAGCTGACATGTAAATTGATGTATTCAGAGCAGAGTGATGTGAAATCAGTTTATTAAAGGGCTACCCCACCAATTAAACATATGAAGAAATGTTAACATGTTACTGTTAGGACTTCAGAGACTGTGGGAAATGTTTTCTAATGCTATGTGCAGGTCCCAAGGAGCTTTGAG